ATACAAAATCCCTAAAATACAGAGAAGGAAAGTTATCAAAACTGGAGCAGACAAAATCTGGAGCAGCTGTGCACGGCAACCAATCAGCGCTCGTCTCTTTATTTTTCAGGAAAATCAGATAAAAAAAACGAAAAACTTCAAGTGAAAAACTGATTTCCACGGTTTAGAAGCTCGATGCATCTCTTCCGCATGTGGTATAGTATTATGCGTTCAGGATTTCCTGAAAAGGGTGCTGGAGAAATCAGCAGTACAGACGGCTGATGGAAAGAAAAGAATATTTAAATTTATTCATGAAAGATAAACTGTACCCGATGGCCACACCTACAGATGGGACTAGGTCGCACTATAAGTGAGTAGACTCAGGGTGGGCAACTCCATGTCATTGAATGTTCCCTCAAAATTACCTTACAGTCAAAAAAAAAAGTCGATGCAATATGGCAACCTGGGGGGGCCAACTGCAAAGAGAATGCCCCCAGAAATTACACTTCCTGCTTCTGTGATTGGCTATTTTCCCAGAAGTCTGCACTAAGATACAAGTCAACTTTTAGGCATCCCTTGCGAGAGGAATTTTATTTTTGGTGAGAAAGTCCCTAAAGGTTAATTACTGCTAAAGGAATGCCACCGCTACAGCTTTCCTCATTGCAATGCAGAAAGTCCCACCAGCTGATTCAGGGTTGTGGAAATTTAGAAAAACTACTTGTCCAAGGACTAAAGCAGGGACCTGATCTACTTATCCCTCATGGCAATCTACTTGTCACGATACAAAAATAATTTTTAGGCATCCCTTGCAATAATATTTAATATTTGGGGATGATGGTGAGATGCTTACTGTGGCTTAATTCCTGCTAAAGGGATGCCTCCACCACAGTTTTCCTCATTACAACACAGAAAGTCCACCAGCTGATCACACTGAACCCGAGCCTCCGATTCAGGGATCAGTTTGTAAGGACGCGGTGAAACAAACTATTTCTTCAGAACAGAAACAGGATGGAAGTTTGATCAAATCTTTCCAATATACATTGTTCACCCAGCGGGGAATGATTTCATTTCTCAACAAAAAGCGGAGTTACTCTTTTAAGAGCCCAACTCAAGGCATGGGATAGAAGCGCGCCTCCAACTGTATTGAACTACTCATACAGGAAGAGTTGAGAAGGGAACCTCTGCTTAGGAAGAGAGGGGAAATCTGCAACAGAGGCACAGGCATAAATTAAAATCGGACAGGGGTTTTAACCTTCCCTTATTCTATTAAAGTTTTTGCATCTCTTGTGTTGCTGTTGGGAGAGTTTCCCTCACTTCCTGTCTTGCCGACAATGGTTTTACCAGACAGGAAGAGAGGTGAAATCTGCAACAGGGACACAGGCATAAATTAAAATCTGACGGGGGTTCTAACCGCCCCTTATTTTACTAAAGAAAAGGTTTTGCATCTGTGATGCTGTTGAAGAACTCCCTCACTTCCTGTCTGGCCAGCAATGGTTTTAGCAGACAGGAAGAGAGGGGAAAATCTGGCCAAGGGACACAGACGTGAATTAAAACTTCTGTCAGCAGAACCTGAAGTGAGGGGAAATCTCTCCAAGCCTGTATTCACACTTGAGCGTGAGTGTTTACAGGGGTGAAGGCTTTTTGGGATGCGGGATTGGGTTCAATGCCACATCGCATGTTGCAACATTTTTGTGCCGCGGTGACATTATTATTTTTTCTTTTTAATGGCACTGCAAAGCACCTAGCCATGTGCGCTGTGAGATTACCATGCGATGCAGTGAAAATTTCTGGCTGGCTGCTAGACTGGTCCTGCAACCTTGCTCCCCTCCACTCTAGAGATGGAATCTCTCTGCGTCCTCACGTCCAATGCACGGAGCGAGGCTGCAGGGACTGATCTAGCAGCCAGCCGGGTCGGAGATTCTAGTGAGTACCTTTTTAGCTTCCTAGACAAAGCAAGCACTTGGCCCTTGCAGTGCGAGGGCAGCCCCATCGCAAGGGTTCAGATTTCTTATGCCTGGATTTCTACTTTAGCTATCCCTACTCCAACTAAATTAAAATAAAGGATTTCAATATCATTTGATTTGCAAACCACACAAAAAGGTTACTCTGTAGCTATAATGGTGCCTCAAACCCTTCTCTACAGTATATTGATTGCCAAGCGGAGTTTATGTAAGACTTCCTGTAAATCAGATTTCCTTACCGCTGGGTATCTGTAGGCTCCTATGTCTAGCATGAGACCCTTGCTGCTATATATTCCTATGATGAAACCAAGCTGAAATCAAAAAGCATAAATAATAGTTTACTGTGATGTGACAGTAATGACTATGGAAAGGAGCCGACTTCAAAACTAATTCACAGAACTGTCATCTGGGGAGGAAAATAAAAAAAGATCTGTAGGAAAGGTAAGTGCTTCAATTATTGCACTAGGGAAAATATACACAATGGTCATAATGGAACGGACGACAGTGACAATTGGGGGACAGCAGACATGAATCAACAAAAAAGGAGGTGTATTTGCAGTATAATTTATGTATTTGCACCAGTCCCGATAGGCTTTCCTTTCCTGAAGATGATCCTGATTCAAGCAGCCTCCCAATAATGTGATTACGTCCTGCTCTGTCGTGAACAACCTGCTCATTCAGCCCAATTGTTAAAATGATAAAAAACAGCAAATGCTTAAGGCCCGGTTCACACCTGGGCGTTTTGTAGCGCATTCGAACGCTCTGCAAAACGCTCAAACACCGAAATCCCATTATTTCCTATGGGTATGGTTCACACCTGGGCGTATTACAGGCCGTATGAACGCGCTACAAAACGTACTACGCCCAAAGAAGTACAGGAGCTTCTTTGGGGCGTTTTTGTTGCGCGCTTCCATTGGGATACAGCAAAGTAGCCCTTGGAAACGTGACCATTTGTCGCGCGTTGTTTTACCGCGAATCAATGTAGAAACGCGCATATTCGATATGCCTAGGTGTGAACCCAGCCTAATACATATAAAAAGTGCAAAAATCCTCTAGGGAAGCACGCACTATGGGACTGATTCTATCTGGAATCTATGTGAAAGAAATGATACATTCCAAGTCAGATATTATTCACCTCATTGAAAAGCATTTACTCCAACAGGCCGCAGACTGAAGTCAACTTCAAACTTCCTCTTTTTTTTTTTATGTCTAAATTCTCATCTACATTTCTGCATATCCTAATGACAGATTACACAACTATCTTCCATCAGATCTTTATCTACATTTGCCTGAATAATGTAACATTAAATATGACCAATATACATCTATATCAAGTCAGATGGAAAAAGAACTAGGCCTCAGGTCCTCTAGGTCGGTTTGAAAACTCAAACCATTTAAAATAACCTATACTGATTTACACTTTTAAAAAGGTAAACAAAAGTCTAGTTTTAGAGAAGGCACCACAAGATAACCCGTCACTGTCCCAAGTTTTAAAGCGGGCACCACAAGATAACCTGCCATTGCCCAAGGTTCAGAGCAGGTACCTCAAGATAACCTGACAATGCCACAGTTTTACAGTAGGAATCCCAGGATTACCTGACATTGCCTCTGTTTTAAAGCAGGCACCTCAATAAAACCTGCCATTGCCCCCGTTTCAGAGTGGGCACCTCAAGATAACCTGCCAATACCTTTATTAGCCAGGAAAGTCCTGTGCCCCTCTCCGATTTGGTTTCTTATTACCGGTGACTGACTTCATGACTAAGCCCCTCCAACTGCCATGTTACTTCCCAATGAGACTACCCCAGGGGCCAATAAGGGCCATCTTATTGGACAGGAGGACTACAGTTGGTGTTGCCGAGCCAGCAGAGAAAGTCTGCCTCTAGTTACAAATGGAACCTTTGGCGAGAGAACGCCTATTAAAAAGTAATACCAGGCATCTCATGGGGTCAGCTCTAAGGAAGGACTTTTAAACGCTGGTGGAATGGGGAAAGGTTCACACTAACGTGGCCCTTTTGGCACAGTATGGTAACGCATTCTTGTAATAGAAGAGTCGCTATACTTGCATCTTTCCGGTGGCCAGAATTCTGTATAGCGATTTTTCAATGCAAAGTGACCCTGTGCTGACAAGGTCACTTAAAAACCATCCAAAACATTAAGGCAGTACAGTAATAAAGTGTACTTGTTGTCTGGCCATTATCCTATAAGCGCAGAACAGATAGCCAAGCGCTAGTTTTTAGGAATGAACTGTGAAATGGAATGATGCATCAGTAAGGAGTAGAAAGAGTCAAATCAATAACAATCAGGCTTTACATTTGTTATTTGTTCTGGATATGCATGAAAATGCAATGTGTGGAAAAGGGAATGGATGGAATGGGGGAGAACGTATACAGCAGTGTGTGCTAGCAACCAAAAAACACACGGGGAAAGGAAAAGGCTGGTGAAAGAATATCCTTCTGGTCTTTAAGGGAAGTTCCATCTCTCTGACAAATCTGAGGCTGGAAGATCTGATCTGTAGCATTCATTACCTACAGTATTTTGTTCAATTACTCCCAAACAAGCTTTAGGTATACCCATCAAATCTAATGGTGAACAATACCTTCTTGCTGGATGTCACAGGGTCTTCCTATGGCTATAAGAATCTTTGCATTGAATCTACAATGCCCACATGGCAACAAGGGCATGTCGAGAACTTGCCTTTGGGAATAATGAAAACGTTTGATCCTAAAGGTAATAAAAGCCATTTACAAAATTCATTATTGTACAGCCATACTGTAAAATTATATTTGCCAAAGAGCTGGAATAACACATTAAAAACGAATGAAGAAATAAAAAACACAGCGCTGGGTATAGGCAGACCTGTCCCTTATAGAAGAAATGGAAAGTATAAGTACCATTGCCACTGTGTTAATGATGGACAGTCTACTTTGGTCATAAACATTGGTCCATATCAATTCATAAACTGAAACGAGTGACTAAGAACAAGGGTGTGTGTGAGGAATAGTGGAATCAGCGGTCTGTGTCACAGTTAAACATAAAACCTTTCATTAAGTACATTAGGTGTTTTTTTTGTGGTTACAGCCCATGGTAATATATCTGTATCAGTGCAGTAGGAGCCTCTCTCATCATAAGGTCTCACTTCCAACCCCAAAGGGCTCCCAATCGTCTCTCACTCCAGAATTTCCACATAATTGGCAGGAAACATGCCATAGTGACCGTTGGGATCATATCCACGCCACCATCCGTCATCGATCATCTCGATGTGTGTGATCAGGTCATCTGGGTCGAAGGAGATCTCGGTATCATCAGCTGTATAGAAAAAAAATGGACAGGATTATCCACTCTGAATGCCAAGTCCGCTAAAAAGTTAAATATAGGGATATATGCATGAAGTGTGCCAACAAGAAGTGTCCTGGCAGCCCTCAGGAACTTAATAGAATCCTTGCATGGTTATCAATGGATTCTAAAATTCACATATGGAAACTGGTTGGTTGGTACTGGCCTGAAGAAAGTTTCTTATTAGAACCGGATTGGTTGGTACTGGCCTGAAGAAAGTTTATTAGAAGCGGATTGGTTGGTACTGGCCTGAAGAAAGTTTCTGATTAGAAGTTGGTTGGTACTGGCCTAAAGAAAAGTTTCTGATTAGAAGCTGGTTGGTTGGTACTGGCCTGAAGAAAGTTTCTCATTAGCATACATTGTATACATAAGCCCCCCAACATAAGGCAGAGACTTCAATGGCTGGATTTCCCTGCTATAATGCAGCACAATGGCTCAGTGGTCATAACTTCTGCCTTGCACCCTTCGAGTCCCGGTTCAGCCAGGAGTTTTAATGGAGTTTGCCGTTCTTCCAGAGTTTGTGTGCGTTTCCTCCGTTCGCTCCCACACTCCAGATATGCTGGTCAGTTAACTGGCTCCTGTCTAAACTAGTATGTTTGTGAGATAGGGACCATAGATTGCAAGCTCCTTGAGGGCAGGGGCTGATGTGAATGCATACTATGTGAAGCGTAAAATCGATAGTGCTATACAAGTACCTGTAGTAATCATAATAATATAGTTTCAAACTCTGCATCTTGATTATGAATGTGACTCCTGGATTCTCCCTTGATTTTATGACAAAGAAGCAACTAGTGATAAATCGGAGACATGCTGGGAGTAGATGGGGTTATATTGGGTTGGCCCAATTTTTGTTTTTGTTTGCAAGTGCCCAAATCGTCCTGTATAAGGCACTATAACCCACCAGTCTATGAATTCCAGCGTCCCCCAATGAACAAGACAAAAACGGTTTTCTAAACTTTCAACAAGTCAAAACCCCCTTCTACAAAATCCGATCCTGTGCTAACAGAACAGTTAATGCATTAAAGGCACATAATGTTTTTTCCCATTTTATGTGGAGCTCTAAAGATACGCTTCTCACAAAACCGCACAGTAGTTTGAGGTCTGTTTGGTTCAGGACCAAGTCCTACTGTTTGGTTTGGACAATGAAAATGCAGACACTTGGTCTGGTCCAAGTAGAACATTCCTGGGGTTCTTTACTACCAGCAGCTCAACAATGTCATTTCTTAACCATTTATCTCCTAGGAAGCTCCTGCTGTTCAAGCCATCAGTCTGTCCAATAATGGTAACAGACGAGAGAAATACTGCCAAAAATAATTAACTTATCCCGACTGTCAACACCAACATAACATACATCCTGAAAGTATTTTGATAAACATTTCATATAAAAGATCCAATAAAAATGAAAAAAAATATTTTTCAGTTAATTACATCTCCAAATCCCTTTTTTCTGGCCATCAAATCTTGGCAATTCCCCCTTTTTTTTAACCCAAAAAAACACATTTATTTTTAGCCATCTTGGATGTGACGTCAGCACCCCCAGCAGACTGAAAGTTGTCACACAAGTGACAATCTATAGTGTTCACCTTCACTCATTACCTGTATGCTACATAAAAGTTATGTAGGGAGGTAAGGGGAGGGGCAGAGGAGCTTGGCCAGCAGAGAGAATAATTGGACACTCCCAAAAGAGGAGAGGCTATGAAGTCAGCAGCCCCAGCAGACTCAGAGCCGCCATTCAAGTGACACCCTATAGTATTCCCCCTTCTCTCATTCTGCAGCAGCCAAATAAAAGGTTACATAGGGAGGTGAAGGGAAGGGCAGAAGAGCTGGGTCAGCACAGATAGAAGTTAGCCAGTCCCAGAAGAGAAGGACTATGCCGTGCATTGAGGTGGGGGGCTGTGCAAGGAAATGGACTCTCCAGGAGTAGTAAAACATTTCTAACAAGTTTAAAAAGCACAATATGAAAAATAATTTACGGAAAAGGAAAAAAAAGCTAAAACGTAAGCATTTGACATGTTTGCTTTTTCGTGCTTTTACTGGCATCTTTTTAAGTTGCTGACAGGGTCTCTTTAAATTAATAAAGCAGGAGGGTCAGTAGAAAAGCCTGAAACTGGATCAGCAGCCTCCGTGTACTTCTCTCGACAGGTAAACCCTTATAATAGTTCAACCGCATTGATCAAAGATAGCCATTTGTCCATTAATTCAGCCACATCCCCTCCCTCTGTGAGCTCCTGTTCTCCTGTAACCCCCCCACAGAAGCCATGTTACCTCCAGCATGTGCCAAGTGCTGATATAAAACATTCACTCCGGGTTTCTGCAATGCAGCACTCAACCTGTCAAATAACAAAGCCTCTATTCTTCTCGCCTGTAACCCGGGCAGCACCGCTCTTATCTCGCAGTTCTTTCTCCTGCATTTGATTTTTTTTCAGTTTAGCTTTTCACACTTTTCTAGTTGGGTGACATCTGATCCAAATCTGTGATGACATGTAAATCAATCTCATCCGAAATTCTCCACAATCACCGTCTTTCCTTCTAATATGGGAGATGAACAGGATCCTACAGTTTTTTTTCCTTGTGTTAGTTAACCTCTTGCCATCCGCCCATTCTAAAAAAAAAACGGGCACCTTGGAAATCCTAAATCTGGGCCTATAGGGGAACTTGCCATATGGGAAAGATGTGCTATTATGTGGCATTCATACATTTACATGCTTGACAGATGTATGCCCTGTAGACATATTTCCATTCATTTGAATGAGTCTTGTCTATATTACGCAGCGATCGACGTACAGCACTGCTTATGCAATAACAACAATTCCTTAGTCTACTATACACCCACCAGCTTGGTAGTCATAGAGTGCTCGTGCACACAGTCCCCGCTCTTCATCCAACCCTGTTTCATACACCGGCTCCTCCTGCTTTTCCTGATGTAACAAAAAGGAAAAAAAAACACTCAGCAAGTGAAATTTATGCAGAAATTAGGTCATTTGTTTAGACTGCGTGTTGTTGTAAGGCAGAAGTCCACCCAAAGCCAAATTACTGTTTCTGGTACATTTGGCTCCATGAAATCACCTGTTGGCTTCTTCAAGGTCCCAAGCGACCAGTGGAAAGATCTTGCGGCCATAATCCTGATGCTTTATATCTAAAGGAATCATAAGCAACCCAACCTGCTGCTGGATTCTCCAGGGGGGAATTCATGTGTATGTAAAGTGAATCAGGGAATGGCGGCATAAACCAGGTGTGTGGAATTCCTATTGCCAGACGCCCGGGACATGCAGTTCCAGGTGCCGGGCAGTTTTTTTTTCTACATTTAGCCCAGTTTCGGGCAAGCAGCAGGGCTAAATGTAGAGGGGGAGCAGTTTTGTACAAGTGATCTTCAGCGGCTACACAGCCGCTCGAGATCACTTGTAAGCAGTCTGATTCTCACTCCACCTTCCCTCATTGCACTCCATTTCCCCTCCCGTCTCTCCCTCCAGCCGCTGCCTCACTGCCTGTGTCCCCAGCCGCTGCCTCTCTCTCTCCCTGTCGTGGTCTTCAGGGTCCCCGCTCTCCTCGGGGACCCAGGACCACAGGAAATTAGATCAGGATGGAGAATGTCCGTTCTATGCTCTGTGTGATCACGGACACAGGATGCTGCACTCGCAGCCTTCCTGTCACAGGAGAATGAGCACAGTGCTGTGCTAGAACTCCTTTATTGGAGGTGACAGGGTCAAGAGAACCTGTCACCTCCAAATGCTATCACAAAGGGGCTTGTTAGGTACCGTGTGATGGCAAAGTTAAAACGGAAAAAAAAATTGTCAAAAATAATAAAAAAAATGAACAATGTAAATACATTAAAAAAAAGTAAAAAAAAACAATTAAAAATGGAAATAAAGGGGATAAACTAAAAAATAATAATAAAATTGATACACCATCTGCATGCGAATAAACACATGCATAGGGCATTGTGTGTGGTGGGTGATCCGTGACCGAATGGCCAGGCAATCACCGAATCACACAGCGCCGCCGATCATGCTGGCGCACCCCAGTCTCACAAGGCAGATTGCACAGTTTCCCGCAACAATAACACCTGTGCAATCACACATAATCGTGTTTAAAAACACCACACAGTGCATGCCGCGAAAAAAAGGTACATGTACCTTTTTTTCAGCGATTGCCAAGCGGATGTAACCCCATTTAAATTAATGGGGCTGCGTGGCAACTGCTGCATGCACACGATCGCCCAAGTCTGCACCCACCCTAAAGGGTAAATTCACTTTCCCTAGTAATTTGGGAAAATGGAATTGCCTGCACAAATCTGCCCCCTTCTCCTTCCCTGCTATACTTACCTTTTGGCGAACTGTCCTTCACATCCGCCAGTACGTGTTTTCTATCTGTGCCATGTATTTCGAATTTTGCTCGCAAATTGCAAGCACTCGTTGGTCAGCACGGTCACCTGACGGCGCTGACCAATGAGAAGCGCCTCTTAGCACTGCTAATTACGGTTTTGGTTAAAATTATTTTTTTGTATCAGGACAATTAGATCGGGCCCCCGCTTTAGTCCTTGGACAAGTAGTTTTTTTGTTTTTTAAATGTCCACACCCCTGATAATCCCAAATATAGTTTGCCCGTACTGTGTGGGAGAATGGCTGTAACCTTCGTACCTGGGTTCTGGAGTATCGCACCACAGCTTAAAAATCCTTAAGAGGACCAAGTGCATGTAGCATTTGGTTCCATTTCGACCAGTGGATGCATTGTGCAATATAACTACATCTTTTTTTTTGGTTTGTTTGTTTCTGCTGGCTGTCAGCTCCACCCCAGGCTGTAGGAGCTACTTCTTTAATAAGCCTACCGATAGACTCCGTGTAATCAACTGTCTGGAAAACAAAAACATTGCTAACTTGCAGGCACCCTTCGGTGCCTGAAAGTATCCATGCAAGTCTTCATATGGATCTCCGTGGAGCCTCTTGGATTGTGCATAGGGCATGGACGTGTGGCCAAGCAGAGAATAATCCCCACAGGCTTCATGGCCTTCTAACGACATCCTGAACTTGTGCCCTATGAATCTAACCATCGATGTTCTCTGGCTTTGCATCGAATATTGTAAACATTAAATACACAGATAGTAATTGCTAACCTCCTTGAAATCTTGGTTGACTGGTTGCTATTCCGTCCCACTGGCTTAAATACTGCGTCACTGACCCAGAACAAGTATTTGTATCAGGAAAGTCAGATGTCCCTATCTGCATACTTGTTGAGTTAGTGATACAAAGTACTGAAGCAAAAAGGTCAACAAGGCAGCCAGGCAGCTAGCAATACCAGAAGAAGGTCAGCAATGGCAGCCTTTGGGTTGCTTCTAGGCTGTGAAATAAAGCAAAACTACAACCTACCATTAAATTAATGTGATGCAGTACTTTATTATATGTGCATCTACACTTAGTTTTCCGTTAGTCCCCCTGTAAAGTCCCCCAAATACCTGTTAATCCAGCCAGTGACGTCCACCTAATTCAGCTTTCTGTGATGGGGAGGCAATGATGCTGCACTGCTCCTGATTTCAGTGCAGAGCTGTCCCTCACATGTGCCTGCTTGCACTTCAGTTGAATGAGAAGATTTTGAAGATGTGGCTATCAGCATAGTCACTGCTGATTCACAGGTCTGGCTACACCTAGTCCCCTAGTCCTGGCCACTGCTTTCTGGATTGACAGCACTGCTCCTGTTGCCAAAACCTCCACTGTGAGCTGCAGTGTCTGGGAGGGGGAGCGTGTGAGGCTCATTCAGTAAAGGAAACATTTCTTGGTTCACTTTACAAGGCTTGCGCATCACATAGTAAATGGATTTAGGAGATGTTTAGTGTTTCATACAAGAGTCTTTAGTTGTACATAATTTAACGAGCTTAGCTCCCCAGTTTATATTGCTGTACTTAAAATTTTGCCTTGTGCCATCTTTGTGTTTACCCGAGTCCGTTCCTTTTTCTTGACGGGCTTACTTGTGCATTGGTGTCTTTATTTCCTGTATATATAATTCCTTATTACACTCACCACATTCATATCAGCACCTCAATGTCTCCTCAGTATTGATACAAACCTCATCTTAACAGAGTTCTATGTAGGGTAGAACAACACGCAGATACAAAGAACTGTCCCAACACCAATGCCAGTGATGAGTTGACTACTATAACACAGAACAACGATCCCTACTTGCCACTTACCTCAGGAGGCATTTCATAAAGATCATTATCTTCCGGTGGCTCCTGGTACAAGTCCTCCTCCTGCTGCTGCTGGGCAGGGACTTGTTCTGCAAAGACACTCATAATCAGTACCAGAGCCTACAGGCTATCTTGTGTCTAGTGCTGCTAATGTTGTTCTCTGTACCTTTCACATTGACAGGAGGTGCTGGAGGAGAATGAGACACGGGGGGAGCTGGAGACTCTGGGGGTGTCTGATGAGCACGATACACAGGTGATGCAGGGGGTTCCTGAGCCAGCTTTACAGGGGATGGTGGAGGAGACTCAGGCTCAGGCTGACTGGTCGACTTCTGGAGGAAAGGACTGCGCAGCTTTCCTGGAGACAGACGGCACAAAACAGAAAAAATACACCACGTGATGTCACAGCGAACACACAGAACGAGGTTGGAAATACTCTGCAACATATACAACCATAGAGACTCACCAGGCGCTGCACTGACTGGGGCGGCGTTAGGGAACGCACGCTCCTTCTGCATGAACACCTCCCGGGCATTAACGGTTCGCTGGGAAGCAGTGTCCTTGAGGAAGAGATTGAGATGTTACAACTCAAAAACCTGGCAGGTTTACAGGGGTGTGTAGACTTTTTTATATCCACTGTGTATACATTTGTATTCAATACTTCTTGCGTGTCTTAGCTTTCACTGTTTATCGGCCTCCTATGTATGCACAGCAAAAAAACTAACCCCTCTGAGAACCTGTGATGTAGAGAACACACATTTGCAACCACCGGGCTATAGCCTCCCAGCTGCCAGATTGTGGCTTCCTGTATGCTCCGACACCTACTGCCGTCACCCCAAGCTCAGACTGAACTCATCAGAGGATGCTCCAGTGGGTCCCCACCAGTTGCATCACCAAAAAGTCAGTGTACTAATACTTTTTATGAAAGTACCCTGGTGGAAAGTAATTCCATGGGCGGACTCATCTGCACGCTATGTAAATAGTTTCATTGCTGCATGCGCCCGTGCAGAGAAATATAGAGGCAAGAGGCACTGGCAGGCAGCAAGCAGGATTGTCAGTCTTCAGCAGTGGGTGCCACAGGCTCCTGTCCTAATTTCAGTTAATTATCACCACAGACACCAATATTTGGGGGGTATTCTTCCCTAGAGCCTGCTATTCCACTTGCACCTATGATTTGAGGGATCATTCCCAACTGGGGTTCACTATCCCACTGAATCCAATGATGTTTGGGGGTCTATGCTCTCCAGGTAGCCCCTATTCAACTGACACCAATAAATTGAGGGGCTATGATCCAACTGACAGCAATGAATTAAGGGGCTATTCTCCCTTGGGGACCACAATGATTTGCAGCCTATGCTCCCCTGGGGGCCACGATCCCACTCACACTAATGATTTGGGGCTTATTCTCCCCTAGGGACAACAATGCCACTGACGCCAATGATTTTGGGGGATATTCTCTCCAGGTAGCTCCTATTAAACTGACACCAATAAATTGAGGTTCATATTACTAAAACCAATGACTTGAGGGACTTTTCTGCCCTGGGGACCAGAATCCCACTGACGCCAATGATTTGGCGACCAGAATCCCACTAACAACAATAATTTGGCAGCCAATTGTTTGTCATTGTGTCTATTTAAATGACATTAACTCATTTTCTCAATGAATTATTCAATTTGTACCAAGTGTTAAAAACATATATTTTACATTTCCATGCTTTTATTGCACGTGTATACATTTTTTGGACGGTTGGGGCATGGAAGGTTTTGGGCTTGGGTCTTACTTGGGTTAAGAATCACTCCTCTACTGCAAAAGTGATCCAAAATATTATAGCAACCTGAATATGTTACATTTCCATAGTTAAGGATTATGTAAAGATGTGTGCTCATCTAGAGAAATTACCAAAATCAAAAAACTAATTGTCTACTGTGCTGTCCACCCCATGCCATCTGTATTTTGGTCCCTAGATCCCATTTCTCTACTCACCCGCTCTTGTTTGTCGGCCTCCTGCTGCACTTTCCTGTAGGAAAAGAAAACCGTTAACACAGATTCTCAGATCAAATTGCCACTCTGGAGTCAGAAAATGCAAATGTTTTCATGTAAAGCGAGGAATAGGCAGAAAAGATGGCCGTCTCGGGTACTTTAACATGGAGGGGGGGGGGGCACAAAAAGGGCATAACCTGCTATTTATGCTGCTAAAGTAGTACACAGCACATGGTGGGGTTGGGAAGGTTGCATGGTGACCTTTTCACCTTGGGTGCTTAAGAACCTTGTCCCAGCACCGACATGCAGCTTGTCACAATCAATGTCTTGTCCCTGGCTGAGCTTACCTATGAGCATCTATTTCGCCGGCCCTCGTTTTGAACCGTCTCTCCCTCTCCTCGGCCTCTTTCTGCTCTCTGGATTTTCGCTCACTCTCCAGCCGGTCTCTCTCCAAAGACGTCTTCTGTTGCTCCCCTAGTCTTCGCTCCTCCTCATCCCTCTGTAAGCAGGGAAGGTTTTATTCCAAGAACAAATGATCACTCAGGTCACAGCTACTTTTACCCCAGGGTAAGTTGCCCCTTTAAATTTCTCAGTTTTCAATGGCAGTTCAGTGCATTCGTGCCCAGATGATCTGAATTTGCTGCATGTCTTTTAAATGTCGAGCACCTTAGCTTACATCTGCTAGAAGGCTGGGCTTACAATTTCAGCATCAGTGAAAGACAACGCTACAAAGCATTCTTTTTTTTTACATTGTGGATACAAATAGAAAGTGGATACAAGAACCTTGTACTGCTATCTGGGACTCCATTAGAGAGAATTCCCCTCACTTCCTGTTATGCAAACAATTTGAGACAGGAAGTGAGAGGGAATCTGCAACAGGGACATCAGACATCTGACAGGGGTTACGGCCTCCACTACAATACTTAAAAAATACATACAAAAAATGTATTTTTCTGTCCATGTTGCTGTAGGAGACTTCCCCTCACTTCCCATCTGGTAAAACAATGTCAGCAAGACAGGAAGGGAAATCTCTCCCTGGAAAGCAGTAAAAACTAGATAGGGGTTCTAATCCCTGCCAACTTTATTCAAAACTGAAAAGATTTTTGGCTCAATTATTAAAGTGAAGCTGAAAATAAAAAAAAATGCCGATTGGAAGGCTTTGTATAACAGAACAGACTAGAAGATGGCCATACACTGTGCGAATTTCAGCTGGTTCTTGATGATCAACTGATCGAAGAAGCCGGTCGGAAAATCATCGAACAGAGCCAGTAGCCAATCAGTTGCCAGCTCTATTCAGGCGGCCGCTGTCACAATACAAAGACCGCAGGAGATTCCTCGATCAAAGCTTACAAACCTTGACGGAGGAATCGGTTATATTTTCTTTGTTCAGCCTGTTAGATGAAGAAAATATTACAGTGAATGGCCAGCTTTAGTCTCTTCTGCCATAAAAGCTTCAAAGCTGCCTGTCAGCATTTTTCTTTCCTGTACACTGAGCCGCACATTCGCAGCTCAGTTCACAGACTTCGCATGCCAAGATGAAGCAACTCCCATGCTCAGGGGAAACGTCATTTGGGTCCCTCTTTCCTGGATAGAACTATCAGTTTAGTATAGACTAACCCCTTGTCGCTGTCTCCCGGCAGCCCTTTAGCACAGTTGACATTACAGGGTTGACATTAGGCTGACGTATAGCTGAAATGGCTGAATATTGCCTTTAGGCTAACCAGAACACAGCCTAATACCTACAAGTGATGAGACCAATTTGACCATTGTGACAGCAGTAAAGGAGCTGACCAACAATACATAGCACTAGCAGAGCTCCCACACAGTGGTTTACCAGCTGGGTCAGACACCCTCTGCAATTGGTCAGGTATTGCTCCTTTTAGTCATCTTTACCATGCAAGGGGTTCATGAGAACAGAAAAGTTGTGGAGGAGTAAGCTCTGTACAAACTCTCAGTGTACATCTTTCACTATAGAAATCTACTTTGTGCTCTATACATTGGATTAGATAAATGTGAAAGATGTCAGCAGCACACCGAAGATCCTTTCGGAATCACCAAATGCTCATTTTATTGAACAAGTCAGAATGGATACAAGCGCTTGGTCAATGCTGAAGCCTGATGAAGGGACCCTGCGAGGTCCCAAAAGCGCTTGTATCCATTCTGACAACTTGTTCAATACAATGAGCATTTGGCGATTCCAAAAGCATCTTCGGTGTGCTGGTGACATCTTTCACATTTATCTTATGCATACAGCGGTGCCATCTGCAGTCATTACAAGCACCCTTCCCATTACATGGGATCTCCGGTAAGGAAGGCAACAAGAACCTTTCTACTTATTCTATTCATTGGATTGCCCCAATGACTTATCTGTATCACCGTGGTCAGGAGAATAATCTCACCTCTGCCTTAGCCCAAAAGTTTTCTTTTCCTACACGTTTAATTTCAGACATTGCGTTTGTTTTCTGGTAAACAGATCCCTGTGAAAAGAAAAAACACCATAGAGTTAGCCGAAACTAAACTTGAACCACATATTGCTTTTACTAGATTCACCTGGCCATTGGTAGCTTGCATCCTGCCCACACAGAAGAGTATTTGGCATCAAACATTAAAGATCATTTATATGACATACACTCAAACACTATGTGGAGAATCTGGAAACAGACCGTCCTATTTGGGTCAGGTATCCAAACCTGTGAAATGATGGTCTGGCCATTTCTGGTTCCATTAAATCCCATCAACCAATCCCCATCACTAAAGTAAACCGGTCAGAAAAATAAAACCCAAAATCTATGTCTGAATCCTGTACTAGGCACCGTCTAGTGTCTAAACTATGTACCAGCCACTGTCCCCAGAAAGTCACTGGTAACCACTGCCAATACCGAATATTCTGTACACAATTGTCAATAATAGCAGACACCACTTCCCCAGCTGACATCACAGAAGTCTGGCGATTGCCTTCTTAGTTACCAAGTGCTCCTTCATACCTAAAAGTACTGGGAGTTTCAAAGAACACCAAAGGAGCAGTAGCAAAGGTAAGCACAGCATATATTAGGGTCAGACAAGTTAGTGGTGGATTCCTCCATATGGATTCATACAAGCTCACAGGATCTCCCCAGAATCCTGCTCTTGTGCATATTTAGCATCTAACAGATTTCTTCTCAACTCCAAAACTTACCACAGGGCCCTGAGGAACATCACTGCCTCTTCCACTCTCTTTATGAAAGTTGTAGTTGGCTCCAGAAGCTTTGCCCACCTTCTCCATGATAGAGTCTGGCTCTACATCCTCATCAGCACGTGCATTGATTGTGACATGGGCTCCCTGAGGAAAGAGAATGACGACAATGTAGAGGGGGGGAAAAAAAAAAAAAAGACACCAAAGCCCAGGAATGAAAATTCGGAATAAATGGAGAACCTTGCTCAGTTTAAGGGGTGGCAGGAGCATCCTTAATCATCTATTCCCTGCTCTCTCACAAAAAGGTATTAAAAGCTTTCAACAGCTTCGAGAGTCACATGATATGCCTCTACGAGAGCATCATCAGTATGTCCAGCTTAGATATAATGCACTCATTTTTCTATACCTTACCCCCCCTCCTTGTTCATACTCAGAGCAAATGCCATTCTGATCCCCAAGCTCCTGGCCTGTTATCCTTAATTTATGCTTCTGTTACACCTTCTAATGAAATGGTAACTAGAGCATACCAAAGCCTTCACCAAACCGAGCTCAACTGCCCCTTACCAAGATCCGCAGGATATTTGTTAAGCAACAGCTACAATTACTAGAAACTTTTGATTTTGGAAAACTCATTTAGGTCCTCTACGGGTGGGATTCTACCCCAAATACCATTTGACATGTTTTTTCCCATATGCTTCAACCTATTGTGCTCAACTGGGCACTATGGCGCATATTTGGTGGGCCTGTCGATTGTGCGCATGCTTTGAATATGGTTTTATAACACAGACCTCCATAAGAATACATATGAAGCACCGCTCAATTAGCCCATCGTTACACTATTTGTTCACAACGAGCACTCATCCGACACATTTTTACCCCTACCAAAAAGGAAGGCTAAAAAGGACGTAGGCTCAGAAGGCTCAAAAAGACGTATCATGGTAAAGGAAATAAAAGAATGTTCTACAAACTGTACTTTAGTAATAAAACTCTTTTAAACACTCATTCACAAAAGGAAACCGCTTCTTCATCAAGCGACTCCATGGTTTCTGTCACTGGATGTACTTGAACCTATTGCCTTTAAAAGGAGAACTATGGGGTTAAGGCTTTTCCCCATAGTTCTCCTTAGGTTAACGAGAGGACATAAACTAGCGTCCTCCCGTCGCCCTAAGCTCAGCATAGGGTGAGACGCCACAGCTGAAGCGGATCCGCCCAGCTGGGGGCTGGGTGACAGCTGTCAGTGAACTATGGTGGATCGGAGCGGGGAGGGGGGAATCCAGCCCCTCCCCTGTCACGGCAGAGAGCTGTGACAGGATCGAGAGGTGAGCGAACGCCGTTATGTGTTCGCTCACCTCCCGATCTACTGAGCCGACCTGTGACAGTTTCATTGTCGCAGGTCGGCTAGAACTATGAGGTGAGTGAAAAGCACTCACCTCATAGTTCTCCTTTAAGGAACAAATTCTCCCCTGAAGAAAATGGTTACTGAGCTGCAGGTTGTACATGACTTCACTTATCTGTTAAGAACATGGCAAGTCTGCATTAAGTTTAAGGACCCATTCACACCACATCATCTCCAGACCAGACCAGACCAGACTTTTCCAGGCCCAAAATGCATCCCTATGCTATTTCTGCCTGTGTTCACACAAGCGCAGTCCGTTCCAGACTAGAAAAATAATGTCTGTCTGGTATGAAATGTACTGGAACGCATGGAAATACATAAAACACATGCAAACGTACTGGAACGTACCTGAAAGCCCATTTTCAACCTAAAAAAAAAAAAGCTCCGGAACGCAGAAAAACTTAATGCCATGCGTTCCAGATCTGGTCTGGAAAATTGTGTTAACCTGGCCTAAGAGGATGGCCAGTTCCTGAACATTCTGCTATAAAGAAATAAAAGTAGTGATGAAAATGAATAAAATCCAGCAAGTATATTGCAGGTAGAAATACAAAGCATTTGAAGTGGTTTCTCAGATGACTCAACAAGGAGGAGGCTGTGGTTTGGGGAAGATTAAAGACTCCAGCTTCTAGAACATCCACAGTTTAAGTGGAAGGAAGTATGAATCTCTGAGGACAATCTAGGGGAGGCAGAGAAGGGCTGAGCTCAGAACAATTGACAGAACAAATGTGGAAAAAGAAGAAGATCTAAGCATCACGAGACTCTATAAACAACAACTACAGGGCAGGCAGACACTTAAGAAAAAACAGATTTGCAAAAGCAAATAAAAATGCTCCAAAAGCACAAAGATTCAGTCAAGAAATGTAACAATTCAACGTCATAATCTTCTTCAGAATCTCTGCATCATTCTGGAAGACACTGAACACTAGGGATGCATGTTTTTCGGTATCGAGTACCAATAATTTTTTCTGGCACTCGCCGATACCAAAACACCGTTACCAGAAGTTAGTCCCATTAAGGAAGCCGGGTGGCATGTATTGACTCGCCGGGAAGCCGGCTCCCCGCTCCGTCACCAGGTGACGAGGAAGCATGGAGCTGGCTTCCTGATACTGGATGTTCCGGTATCGCGAGCATTTGGGGCGAGTACAAGTACTCGCCCAAATAATCAGTATCGGTATTGGTGCATCCCGAATGTATACCAGCTGGGTGTCCAGCTGCTTTCACTTCCTCCCAATCTGTGGCATAATGCAGAGGGTCAATTGGGCAAGTGCAGAATGCTGCTTAAGGCAGTTTTATTCCCATCAACATTAGCCTGCTCATCAGTTTTGCCACGTTGATGCAAAGGATCTCAACAGAACATGGACCTACTGAGATGCTCTGCTATAGGGGATGCACACAGCAGTAGCGCTGCTTGCAGAATTCATTGAACAGCCTAATGCAGGAGAATCTGAAATGGCCTCTTCAATGGCTGGCCTCTTCAAGACCATTGCCATGGAACCAGCATACTCATACTTTAGTACTTCATGAAGTACAAATTTGCCGATTGGCTTTGAAAAAAAAAAATGGAGCCAATGGAAGCCATCGTCGAGCACAAGGCTGGGTTCACACTATTACGCTATGTTAATGCCTTCATGTGTTTATGAAGCACCTTCATTTGAGTGGGGTGTCCAACACCCCAAGAAAGGCGAGTGCACTACTTTTTGTAACACATGGCAGTGCATTACCAGACTTTGGGGTACACAGGTATGTTGGGTGCCATTGAGAATAAAAGGACCCCGTGGCACACCAACGCCCACAAGGTTTTTTTCTATCTTTGTAAGCGGTATAAAAGGTGTGAGAGCCGAACTGGTTAAAACAATGTTGTACATGGCTAGAAATCTGCAGAAATCAGCCACACGAACACAGACAAAAGGATGACTAATCAATTCCTCAAGGATGACTATTATAAAAGTGATTTTATTGGGATGAATGGCCTGACATTTATTGGAATGATTTACCGTATTTCAGCTGTCCTGCACTGCACCAGCTCTAATACAATCCTTGTGTGTCTAAGTCAACATATTCTGTCTGGGTCACATATTTCATTGTTCTGCATCTATGTTGTGCTGAATGATCTGGGTAGCATTAGGTGGCTCTAAGCAACAATTCTTTATATAGCTTTCTCCCCACGCCTAATCAAAAAAAAATTAATTACCGAGACCAGAAGTGTTATGTCTACCAAAGGCCAGAATATACCGATGACAGAATCAGGAATGGTCTGAAAGACTTTCCCGGTTACATGAAGATATACGGTATGTAGGATGAAGCTGATTGAAAGGTAAATGCATAGTGGTCTTGCACAAATGTTCTTAATTATGACCAGAAATAAAACATTTTTGAACTTTAAATTATTTTCACTGTGTTCAATTGAAACACAACTTTAGATCATTACATTCCAGGTAGAAGGACCCCTGCAAGAATAGGATGCAAGTTACAAGTAAAAAACCAAGAACAGCCCGGGAGACAAGCTCAGTCAAATGCCAGCACTGCAAAAAACAAATGTGCTCTGCCCTCCAATGAAGGCAGAGAAAAGGATTTCACAGAGTACAAAAACAACCCTATTTATTATTCTGTTCATCTCAGGACACAACTCTGATTTAGATTACCTACTGAGAAGTCCCAAAGCAGTGCCACAAGTAGGTGGGCAAAAAAACAGACAAACCTTCAAGAGAAAAAATGATTTAGGCAGATTAGACTGCCTTCTAAAAAAACGTTACGCCAAAACTGGCATCAACCGATACTGCCACATCCACCTTGTGTGACCCAAATATGAACTAATGAACTGATAACAAAGTGGCTGCCTTACAAACCTAAGAAATGAATGCTTGATGGCAGAAAGCCCAGTCTGCACATACCGCTTTCATAGAATGCAATGTAACCAGAAACAGTGGCTGCTGGTGCTTGACAGCATACGCTTACACAACAGTTTGCTGTATCTAGTCTGAAAAAGCAGTAGTCGACAATACATACATGCCTTACATATGTCCTCTACAACCAAGAACAGGGAATCTGACTTGTGAAACCAGACTGTGGTAATCAAATACACCCTAATCCCTTGGTTCTCAACTTATGGGTCGTGGCCCCCGTGTTCAGCGGGTCGTTGCATGCCTTCCACTTTTTTTAAGTGAGAAGCTCCTCAGCCTCCACTTAGCGCAGCAATGTCAGTTGTCGTGCCAAGCAGCCATTCAAAATATGCTGCCCGGCGCCGTGTGTCAGCTTGAGGTGGAGTGGGTTGGGGGTATGGACGTGAAAGAGCTCCATCCTTACGTGCATTGGGTACAGCTCCCGCATGTGCCCTGCAGAGGTACCTGGACCGGCGTGACATCACATTCTGGCTCCCGACACCTCTACAGGGCGCGCAAGGGAGCTGTACAAGCAATGCACATATGGATGGAGCTCCATCACAGCACAGCAGCCCACACTGGACCACAAGCTGAGATCCAATCCAGTTCTCGTAAGAAAAAATAAACATTTTTGGAGTGTTTATGTGAGAATGTCTAGGAGCGTGCGAGATTGTGTATGTATGTCGGGGTTTTTGGAGGGCCCGTTCACAATGGTAAAGTGTGTTAACGCACTGTACCAGGCAATCACACCTACCATGCATTCAGGTGTGGGAGATGTGTTGCTATTCATTTGAATGGTACCCCAAACACACCTCCCACCAACAGTTCGTACACCCGCACCGGAAGACACGGTACCCTAATGCCATGAGTTCCATTGCCCTGCGACTTAATGACCAAGGACAAATGATGGTCCTGAGGTTACACAGGTTGAGAACCACTGCCCTAAATCGCTCCAACTACATCAAAAGGCTATAAGGCATCTAAGGAGTAATGACTTGGGACAAATCCATGGAATGTCTTAGTTCAAGTGAAATGTCAGTAGGCTAGGCTAAAAAGGAGAGACCTGGACTTGTGAATGGTGTGGAATACTGGATCCCATAACCCTCTGTCCCTCAATACTTGGCTTTTAACAGTCAAGCAGGCCAGTGGCTGTAAATCAAGGTGGTAAATGAGCCCTCCACATACCATGACCTGCAGGGCCTATGCGGAGCCACCAAAATCTACATATTCCTCTTGACTTCGATCTGGCGTAGTAGCTATGGAAGCATATAGCACAGTGTAGAAATCCCACAGAACTGCCAATACATCCTCTGCCCAAGGGTCTTCTGCCCTTGCTACAAACCTGTCCACCTTTCAATTTATCTTACATTCCTCATAGCAGGATTTGTTGGACGCCTCATGGATGAAAGGCCCGCTCTCCTTAAACCAGCCTTTTGAGTCTAAGATAGTCTGATAGCCAGATTTCTACCCCGTGTATGAATTCTATTGGACAGAGCCAGAACTTTATTATCTGCCCATTTCAGCATATAAGACACTTCCAGCACTACCTCTTGCTCTTGGCCGCCCTCTCTCCAGGCGGTGCGTTTAGCGAAATAAAGCCTATCTGATGGCTTTGAGTTCTAGCACATTGATGGGGAGCAGGGATTTTTCATGGCTCCAAGAACCTTCAGCAGATTATAGATCCAGAACTCCTCCCTAGCTAAGCATTCCTCGTTACTATTTTCCAGCAAATAGACTTCTCAGGTAGCATAAGGAAAGAGGTGAGCCACCACCCTAAAGATGATCTCAGAGGACGTATCTTGATCTTCTCTGTCCAGAGACAGGAGACTTGTTCCATTGTGACAAGATCTCGTGCTGCAACTTTCTATTGTGGTATCACACATGAGGAATCTCTTTGAATGCTACCACGAGACCCAAAATTCACATGCAGTGGTGAAAAGGAAGCCACCTGTGAGCATGCTTTAGGCAACCCTGAATCTGTAGTTTACAGCTGTTCCAAAGGGAGGAACACCTTGACCTGATTGGAGTCCATGATCAACCCCAGGTATTACAGGCTCAAGTGACGGAATAGCGAGGACTTATTGAGATTATAAATCCATTTGAAACTCCTCCAGATTGCTAATGGCTATGGACATGCTAAACTCTAGTTCCAAATGAGACTGGACATGCAATAGAAGGGCATCCAGGTACCTCATAATTTGTGTCCTCTTGATCTCAAGGCAAAGAAAATTGGCCACCAACGTTTTGAAGAACACCTGAGGCACTGCGACTTGGCCGACAAACAAGGCTATAAACTGGTAGTGCTCGTTCCTTACCACAAAGTCCAAGAACTGCTGGTGCAGCTATCCATGGCCCCCACACAGCCTGCAGGAGTCTATGGCACTCAGCTCCCTGCCCTTCCCTCTGTACCTCCCACCCAGCAGCTGGGAGACCACAGACCTGTTCCTGCCAGTACTGTTAAAAGGCACAAAATGCCTTCAAATACAGTGGACAGCCCCATTATCACCCACAGTATTTACCCTACTAGGAGGAACTTCGTAACCCCCATGATGTAAAAATATGGGGGGTCTTCTTCTGTTGAACGCCCTGAGGTTATATTGTGTTCCATGAGAGGAAAATTAAAAACTGTGGGATATGGAAGACATTGTGGATGAGGTATAAAGATCAGCAGAATATAATTTAAAAAGTATTTGCAGATATTGTGGAATACTGCATATAGCTACATAACAATTTCCATTTAAATGGGCAACAAGTGACCTTGTACCTTTAAGAAGTTTGCTATAGTGCTGACGTGGTTGGCACATGCTCCTTTCCTGGCATCATTCACGCCCTCCCCTGTCTGTCAGAGAGAGAACAAAAAGGGAGATAAGAACCACGATTAAGTGAATGAACCAGCAAATTAGTGGCATTGTTCCTCGACTCACCCAGTTGACGAGGACATATTTGGGGAGACCTGAGTTGGGGTCCCGCACTCTGCAGAAAGCATACATCACTTTCCCACTGCTCAGCTCATCCACCATTTCTTCCAGACCGCCATCTGTGAAAAATTAGAGGGAACATAAAGGGGATGGGACAGAGAGGAAGGATAAAGGAAGGACATAAGGACAGTAGGTCACATTATGTAGTATATAGTAGAAGCAACATGAGATCTAGCAGACTGCGGCCTACACATATGTAGGACGGACGTGGTTAGACCTCAACCAGAGCAGCACAGACATTCAATATGATTAGAGTGCAATATAAAACCACCCACCTCCAGACCCCGCTAGTCTGATGTCATTGCTGTTTCCTTCATATGTGTACAAAGCCCTGAAATGAAAGGTTAGATCAGAATCAGACACCTTAAAACTGTAGGCTGCATAATTACTATAAAGAGAAGTCAATTCAGACATTCAGAAGCTTTGCAACCTTTGATAAAATAAAATGCACACAAAAGAAACAATTAGCCATTGTAAAGTCTAAACGTTCCCTTGAAAGCTGAACGCCGTGATAAGAAAATATTGTTCAAATGGAAGAGGCGTGTGTATTCTCTAGGGCTGCAACAACTAATCGACATAATCGATTATAATCGATTATTGAAAAAGTTGTCAACTTTTTCAATAATCGATTGATCGGCTTCCGATCAGTTGGCCCTGTTCACAGCTCCACACGCTGTGCGCCGCACCTCCTCCCCACCTCACGCTCGCCGCTGCCAGACCCGCTCGCATTCACACTCCCCACACCGCACCTCGTCCCCGCCTCACATTTCCTGCTTATTGCTGGGATTTGTTGTATTCCTCTATAGCTGGCGGTATTCTGAATTGCGCTGTATAATGTGCTTTTGCTGGGTTTTGTAGTCCTCTATAGCCGGTGCCATTCTGCATTCATTGCTGTATAATTTTACACTTTCCATTTCACTATATTGCACACCACACTATCTTTTTTTCTTTTTTACTTCCACCGCTCCAAGCTTGCTCCTGTGATGGACTACAACCTCAATACAAACTAGTAGTCCTATCACTGGAGCCATTTTTTAAACTTTATTTTATTGTTTATCCGATTAACCGATTAATCGAACTTAATAATCGGCTAACTAATCGATTTTGAAAATAATCGTTAGCTGCAGCTCTAGTATTCTCCCTTGGAGTGCTTTGTGTATTTCTTCCAGATCTGTGCTGTAACCCAGTGGGGAACTGGGACATTCCTGTAATAAAGACCGCTTGCTGCTGCCCTCTCTCCTTGTGCAGGAGGACTGGTCTCATCTCCGCCTGCTCCTGTAATTAAGACCACTCACTGCTGCTCTCTCCTCTGTGCAGGGTTGCTTGTATCAGTCCCTACTGTAGTTTTCTACAGACAACCTCTACTGGGTGGGGCCTGCTCCTGACCCAATGATACCAACCTTGCCAGGGCCCCACTTCCACACCATGCATCCTATACCATAGCCAGCAATAAAATCCCCCAGTGTCAGCTGGTGTTGAACACTTAAGGGAGCAGTGCCATCACTACCTCTGTTATGCGTCAGCGCTTGGTCTAACAATTGGTTGCTAGTCCCCAGCACTGTCAGGTGCTCCCCATACATGGTGAGCAGAGGGCATTGTTAATGGCTGCAATGGAGGTGGGAGCGGCAGAAGCATTGAAAGGGCAAGTATCAGATGGAGGGAGCATCAGAGAAGCATTGGCAAGGTATCAGATGGAGGAGGGAGCGTCAGAGAAGCGTTGGCAAGGTATGTATCAGTTGGAGGAGGAAGTGTCAGAGAAGCGTTGGCAATGTAAGTATTAGTTGGAGGAGGGACCTTCAGAGAAGCGTTGGCAAGGTAAGTATTAGTTGGAGGGGGGAGTAGCAGAGAAGCGTTGACAAGGTAAGTATCAGTTGGAGGAGGGAGCGTCAGAGAAGCGTTGGCAAGGTATCAGTTCGAGGAGGAAGTGTCAGAAGCATTGGCAAGGTATTAGTTGGAGGGGGGAGTGGCAGAGAAGCGTTGGCAAGGTATTAGTTGGAGGGGGGAGTGGCAGAGAAGCGTTGACAAGGCAAGTATCAGTTGGAGGAGGAAGTGTCAGAGAAGCATTGGCAAGGTAAGTATTAGTTGGAGGAGGGACCTTCAGAGAAGCGTTGGCAAGGTAAGTATCAGTTGGAGGAGGAAGTGTCAGAAGCATTGGCAAGGTATTAGTTGGAGGGGGGAGTGGCAGAGAAGCGTTGGCAAGGCAAGTATCAGTTGGAGGGGGGAGTGGCAAAGAAGTGTTGGCAAGGCAAGTATCAGTTGGAGGGGGGAGCGTTGGCAAGGTAAGTATCACTTGGTGGAAGGAGCATCAGAGAAGCGTTGGCAAGGTATGTATCACTTGGTGGAAGGAGCATCAGAGAAGCGTTGGCAAGTATCAGCTGGAGGAAGGAGCATCAGAGAAGCATTGTTAAGGTAAGTATCAGTTGGAGGAGGGAGCGGCAGAAGGATTGACAAGGTATGAATCATTTAGAGGCGGGAGCGTCAGAGAAGCGTTGGCAAGGTAACAAATAAGTGGGTTGGGGGGGCCCGGGGCAAAAAAAACAAAAACTTTGGTGGTGGCAGTGTCTGTTTTAAAGATGCTTCTTTAAATCCGGGCAAGCAGACAACAGATTAATCTGCGTATATGATTTGCATATTAGCGGCCCACCAGTTTCAGAATCAGACCGAATTGGTAATCATTTACAGCTAAACAGTTCTGCCATTAGAACATTTAACTCCGTGTTCTATGCAATACTTGATTGAACATCGCTCAGTTTCTACAAGCAATATGATCAGTGCCCGATGTTCCATAGAAGATACAGAGCCGCCGGTCGGCCAAAACGGATGTTAGACCATCTGACGCTGAGACACAAAAGGAAGGACGCACAATTATGGAGATACGGATGGATTTCACAAGTTCTTTCGTCATGGTCTTTTTATCACACTTTACCACAACTGCTGGAAACACGTTGTTGTGTCACCTCCATTCTAAGACGCATGCATAGCACTGTACTATTTTCCACCATATCACACACGTTATCTGCACCAGTGCAAATCTGGCACACAGTGGGTTAAAGTACACACCTCCCACACATCTCCACTTCTTATTTTTTGCTTTAAAGATACACAGACTTCTTTAATCAGCCTGCAGAGAGCAGAACAACTAAATGACAATATCAGATGGGGCCCAATATTCAGCATATCTGCATCTCATCCTATGGCATTAAATTCTGCTGTTTAAAAGACTGCCAAATTATTCCATAAAATGTGAATCACAAATCATTGTTAAGGTGCCCATACATCTGCCGATTATCGCGGGAAATCCCGCGATCGTACGATAATCAGCAGGTGTATGGAAGGCGTGTGAACATTTCTACTGCACGGTTGCACGTCTTTTGTCTTACGAGCATGTTTGAAAACCCGCCGAGAATCGTACGATTTTCGGCGGGTTTGTGGCCTGCTCCTAAGACAAATGCCGCAAGTGCACACTGCCCGCTCAGCATTCCAGTCATGGGAAGCCCGTCCCTCAGTGATCACAAGTACAATCTGCCTGTCCAAGACGGGCAGATCGTACGAGCTTTTAATTAGCTTACAACCATCGCAAGACAAAAGTCTTGCGATGGTTGTAAAGTGTATGGCCAGCTTCAGAAAATAAAACATGCTGGACCAATAAATAGACTAGAATAAAGTAGAGCTGCAGCTAACGATTATTTTCAAAATCGATTAGTTAGCCGATTATTAAGTTCGATAAATCGGTTAATTGGATAAACAATAAAAAAAAAAAAATTAAAAATGGCTCCAGTGATGGACTACTAGTTTGTATTGAGATTGTAGTCCATCACAGGAGCAAGCTTGGAGCGGTGGAAAAAAACTAAAAGGGTAATTCAGACTTTTCATGTATAGAATGAACATTCTCTCCACTCACACTGTAACTACTAAGGCCCCATTTACATTTTTTACAATTACGATGGGGCAGTATCACAAATTGCTCCATGAGACCAGCTGTTTGCACATAAATCGGAAATGCTGCGATTACCTGTGGACGATCGTACCTGGACACAAGCTGTTTACGTCCAGGGACAATCGTCCGCAGGTAATGGCTGCCATGTCCCATTATGTGTGAACTTTGTATGGCGCTTCACATGAGTAATTTGGGAGACTGCTCCAAGTGTGAATGGGGCCTAAAGTCACCCATGCACGGATCAGCAGGATTCGCCCGAAATTCCAACAGTGTATGGCAAGCTTTGCCCTGAAAGCAGTCAGATTGTACCTACATGAATGCCAACCCCTCAAATCAAAGCTTTATTCTTTCTCTCATATATATCTAGCTATAGTATAGTATATGAGTATATGTATAGATGTATCTCGGGGTGGACAAATCTCAGGAGCCAGGTACCTTTGGAGATTGTTTGTTTTGTAAATAGTGCTGGCTAGAGGTGCACCGAAATTAAAATGTAAATACCGAAACAAAACCAAAATGTTACAAAAAATTGTCAGGCCAAAACACCAAAAAATGTTATTTTAATTTTCAATTTTTTTTAAATATTTTCATTTATTTTTAACCACTTGAAGTCTGGGGTGTTAAACCCCCTTCCCATACAGGCCATTTTTCAGTATTCAGCGCTGCGGTACTTTGACTGACATTTATTCCGTCATGCAGCGCTGTACTGAAATGAATTGTATACCCTTTTTTGGGGATGGGATTTTATTTTTTAATATATTAAGGAAAAATAAAAAAAAATAAAAAACAGTTTCCCCTATATTAAATTCTAAAACATTTATTATTACCCAATTTTTTGGTAAAATATAAAAGACGCGGTCACGTCGCGTAAAAAGACACCAAACATGTCAAGCCTTAAAAAAACCTACATTGCGCGAAACCTTAAAAAAAAAAAAACCTACATTACCCAAAATTGTCCATAGGCGACGCTTTAAAAGCTTTTACCGCTCATCAGTTTAGTGTTATCAGTGATTGATGGCCCTAAAATGATTGCTCTCACTGCGACGTTCGCGGCGATATGTAACATGTGTAGCGCAATTGT